CTCTTTATGTTTTTGAAATATAAAAATTTGCAAAAATCATAAAAAATATCTTCTTAAAGAATAATAGTTCGGAAAAAAATAATTTGCTTTAACGGTTTTTTGCTAAGAGTCTTTATACTTAATTTAAAATATTTTTCATAATTTATTATTATTTTTCAATGTATTCATTCTGGTGTTTCCTTTATAAGCAATTATATATTTTTTTGGAAATCAAATCAAATTCAGTTTCAAGAACAATATTTATTACAATGTATTACTATTTTTATGTTTTCGGAAATAAAATTTAAATTTAAATTTAAATTTAAAATTTTTTTAATTGTGAGACATTAATATATTGAAGTATAAAAAGAGAAAAATCGCATCATTAAATTTTTTGAATTTTTGAAATTATTACTAAAGTTCAAAAACTGTCGATACCTATTATAAATTTAATCCTAATTTTAAATTTAAACTTTTTTAATTTTGATAAATATTTTTATATACATATGAATGTTAATCAAAAACATAAAATTTTTTTTAAGTTTTTTTTTTTTGGTTTGCAATAAAAATATTTATACTTTTGTAAGCAGAGAGGTTTTTAATCCTCTCAAATAGTGAATCTGCACTTTGGTTAACTTAAATGTGGCCATGGAAATATTTCCGCTGACCCCAGGCTGATCTCTGAACAATTCTAGGAGCTGCTGCATGAAACTGCACGTAGTACTTGTGCGCATAGCTATGCATGCAGCGCTGCCGGCTTTCAACTCCTTGCGCATCTGCGTTGATTTGTGAGTTTATTGCATAGCACTGCTTTTATACGCGCAGCGGTTCATTGAACGCTGGCTTAGAATAAAGGCAGCAACAAATGCCGAAGGTATCACTTGTAACTGCGCAGTTGTTGTAGTGGCATTTGCTGGCAGTTTGTGGCATAAAAAAAGTAATATAAAAATAGAAAAACATGCAAAAAAAAGGAGAAAAAGATCGCGGTAGCATGGTAAACTGCTGCAAACAGCAGCTAAATATTTTATATTTATTTTTCGCGATTTTTTTGCAACGCGCGCCTTGCAATTTTATCTGTTTTTCCAAGGAATTTCGTGCGCGGCTGGCATAGACACTTACAGTATATATGTGTGTGCTTGGTGTGCGTGCGTGTGTGTGTTGGGAAGTAAGCGAGGCCTAACCCACCAACACTGCCATGGCCAGCACTACCCGGAGTGCTAGCACAACAATAATAACAACAAAAGTCAAATAGCAACAACAGCGTCTATTTGCGCCCATTGTGAGGGCCCCTGAATTGCTGCACTCGCCAGCAGCCAAAGTCGACAATGCAATGTCCATTTGCCTGGTATTAGATGAAAATCTGCAGTTACAAAGGAAAAGCGTTGAGAATGGCAAATATAGTGAACAGAAAAAACCAAACACGCCCTAGCACTGCGAGGCTAGAAAAAAAAAAAAAATAATAAAAGGTATAGAAACAAAATAAAAAAATAAAATTCTGTTGTTGTCGGTCAGCTGAGTAGCGATTTCTACTAAATTGTAGAGTTTATGGCATTGTTGGGCCGCGCGTTTGCTGTTGGTGGCGGCTAGCAGCGGCAGATAAGATTTGGGGCGTGTTGGTGATGCGCGGTTTCATGGTGAAAATTTTCCACGAAAAAATGCCAAAGTCAAAAGCAACATGGAAAGTGTAGCTACAGACAAACATGCACACATACATGTGTATGCAAGCGTTTGACTCAAATAAAAGTGTGATTTAGAACAGGTGAGTTGGCAAGTTCGTTGCTTAAGTCTTTTGCTTGAGTTGAAGGGGCAATATTTTGACTAGTCACCAGCCAGCGCATAAGAGTATGCAAATATGCGGGAGTGATACGTAATGGGATAGCGTTAGATGATGTGTGATTTGTTTATGTGATGTGGTTTACGATTGTTTAGGAGACTTGGGAGCATATGTGGTGCCTCTGTTTTTTCAAACATTTGGAATGCTTACTTTTAGATAATTGATGTAAGTGCAGGTAAAATAAAAATTTATATATTTTAATATAGCAGCTTTTAGCTCTGTAAACAATTTTTTTTTTGAATAAGAGTTGAAAAGTAATTTCAATTACATGTTTCATATGTAATTAAATTGCAAATTTCAGCTTTTGAATAAAAAATAATGAAAATATCGGAAATAGTTAATAAAATTTAGAAAAATTCCAAGGTTGCCAAATTTTTTGGTTTGAATTAAAATAAATGTGAAGGTTTCTAACTTTTTGTTTATGATTAATTATAAAAAAATTAAAAAATAGCATCAAGGTTACGTAAGAAATATGTACTTAAATTGCAGATTTCACTTCTTGCATAAAAAATAAAGAAAATACCGAAATATTTACAAAAATTAAAAAAATTCAAAAAAAAATTCTGAGGTTGCCATTTTTTTTAATATACGAAACCGGTTAATTTTTAATAAAAAAAAAAAATAAATTTAAAAAAAAGTATAAAGGTTATCTAAAATACTTTTTTTTACTAGAATAAATATCAAGGTTGCCAACTTTTTCGTTATGAATAATTATAGATAAAAAAATAACATCAAGGTTGTCATCTCGTTTTATTAATATTGCAAGAGTATTATATGTTGAAGAAATATTAAATAAAAATGAAAAACTAACAAGGTGGCAACTCTTTTCTTTAAGCTTTGAAAAATATTGTATAACATTTATTTTTAAAATGCTTTTAAAAATTTATCATTAATAACGAGTATGTGATTTTTTGTAAAAAATATAATTAAAGCTTTTATAGAGTTGCCAAATATTTTAATTTAAAATTGTTAAATTTCACTAATTAATTTTTGTACGTAGTATGATAACGAGATATTCATGCAATACAACACTAAAAATATAAATTTTTGAAACAGGGTTTTTGATAAAATTTAAATTAATATTAAAGACGTTTTTGGGTTACTAACAAGTTTTTATAGCAAAGCGATAATATTTAGAAATTATTGCTTAAGAAATTGTTCAGGAAAATATATTTAAGAAAAAACAAGAAAAAAAATATAAAATAACATATTAAAAACGAATGTAATTTTTGGACAGACTTTCAATAAAAGCTTACGTAAAAACTAATGATAAGTTGGTAAAAAAATAAACTGAGAAACAGGGTTACCGCTTTTGAATAAAAAAATAAAATGATGACAGATTGCCCTAAATGTTGAGAGAAAAATTTTATAAACGAGTTTTAAAGTAAATAAACTCAAGAATTTGGTTTAAATTAAAAAAAAATAATAATAAGTAATTTTTTTAAATTTTTTTT